CGACTCGGTTTCGATGGCTTCCGATCCCGATTATATTCGACTTGGGGGGTCAATATGGATTCTGATGTTTCCGTGGAGTCCTACTAGCTTGATGAGCTCCGCCGATTGGACTTCTCCCGACGCGGCTGCCGATCTCCGCCGATCCGACTCTTTTCAATCGCCGATTCCTCTTATCGATTCGGTGCTGGGCTCTCCAGACCAGCGCAGCTGTTCTCCTTGGAGCGAGGTCCCCGCTGGTCGCGAGCCCCGCTGGCGAGGCTGCCGCGGCCTGCCCCCAGGCTCTTGCCGAGGCAGGCCGTGATCAGGAGGAGGAGGAGGATCAGTGCAATCCCCAGAGTCATCAACGATGTTGGAATCAACCCTCCCTCCAAGCTCCTTCTCCGCAGGCCCCACACAACGCTTCATTTCCACTGACGGAACTCAAGGGCAGAAAAAATGCCCCTACCCTGGTTTACGAGGCGCTGTGCGCTGAAACTCCTGTGGGCTGACAGGGTAAACCCTGCGTTCTGTGCCGCGTCCTGGCGGCTCTAGGCTTTGGGGGCCCCCAGGAGGTTTACAGACCACGCACCGGTTAACCCAGGGCAGGGTCGTTTTTTCATCCTTCAAGGAACTGCCTCGTTGGAAGACCGCCGGCCTCGTCTCGGTTTTTGGGGGGGGGGGGGGCGTCGGCCTCCGCGGCCGGAGCGGCCCGCTCCGCGGTGCCCGCTCCCGCCTCCGAGGCTGCTGCGGCCTGGCCCCTTTTTCCAGCCACGGCGCCGCCTCGGAGGTCGCCTCTGGGCTGCCACCTGTTCCGCACGGCCCGCTCCGCGGTGCCGAACGAAAAAGAGGGGGGACGAAAAAGGGCCGAACGAAAAAGGGAGGGGATAGGGAAAGGGGCCTCTGATCGGGCCGAACGAAAAGGGGGGGATAGGGAAAGGGGGAGGGTACGAAATCTGCTGCATGCTACTGGTTTCGGCCCCGCCGCCGGGCCCATTCCTCGATGCTCTCTGCGCCTCCCAGCGCCGGATTCTCTACCCTACCCTTTGCTATCCCCCCCTTTCGTTCCCCCCGATCTGAGGCTGCTACAGTCTCGCCTTTTCAGCCACTGTGTCGACTTGGATGTCGTCTCTGAGCTGCCACCTGTTCCGCACGGCCCGTCTCGTCCCGCCCAGGTGGGCGGTCCGAGACGCAGTAGGGATGGATAATTCGGCTCTCGTTTGCTCTTGCTCTTCGTGCTCCTCCCCCTCTCCCCTCCGCCTCCTCCTCCTCCTCCTCCTCCTCCTCCTCCTCCTCCTCCTCCTGCTCCTCGTCCTCGTTCCCCATGCATTCTCCATTCCTCCATCCTGCCTCTCCGTCCCTCCTCCCGCCCCCGTCCTGAGTCTTTCCACCCCTCCTCTTCCGAACTTCGTCGTTCTCCTGCTCCTCCTGCTTCTCGTCCCCTGCCTCCTCCCTCCCTCCTCCTGTTCCTGCTCCTCCTGCTCCACCTCCTCCTCCTCCTTTTCCACCTGCTACACCTCCCTTCCTTCGTTTCCTTCTCATCCTCCCCGTCTTGATTCCTTTTCCTTAAAAGTAAGTCCTCCATGTCGCACCGTGAGGCCAATCGGAAAGGCGGGCCGGGCGTTTCGCCTGAGACTTTCTGACCATACATGATTATCAAGCTTAAAAGTTGGCAACACTTACGCAGATGCAGGGCGGGTTGTTTTTAACATGTGGATCTCGCCATAGCGCCGCGCACAATTCGTCGAACGCAAGAGATTCACACATTGATGGCGGGTGTTTTCAAAATGTGGTTCTCGCCTTAGCGCCGCGCGTATAGTTTTAAGATTTGCATTCGCTTCACGAATCGAGGACAGGTTTGTCTTGTCAAAATATGGCTCTCGCTTCAGCGCCGCGCATGTTTGTTTTGACAAGTTGCAGCCGCTTCATGGATTAAGGGCAGCTCCGTTCTAAAATGTGGCTCTCGCCGTAGCGCCTCCCACACCCGTTATAAATTGTTGCAAGATGTTCACGGATTCCCATGGTCAACATACCAGAAATTGTGTTTTGGAGCCATTAAGGGCAGCCAAGGCGCAATGTCACGTTGATTCGCGGTGTTGCAGTCCCAAGAGTGGTTTTCTGGCATGATTCAGGATCGTCAACACGCAACAGTCAGGCTGATTCGTGGTGCTGGAGTCCCGAGAATGATGCCCTCGCACGCTTCAAGATCTTCAATCGGTTGTGCCCCAACGGGGCACACCCTACATTGGACATGAAACCTTGTGTGGGGCCTATGGAGAGGGAGCTCGGGGGGAGGGTTTATCCCAGCATCGTTGATGGGTCTTGGGTTTACACTGGTCCTCCTCCTCCTCCTCCTCCTCCTCCTCCTCCTCCGCCTCCTCCTCCGCCTCCTCCTCCTCCTGCTCCACCTCCCCGTGGCGAGCCCCGGAGCCTGGGCCCAAAGCGTGGATCGCAGCCAGCCCACATGCTTCTTCTGCCCCAGGCCTCCTACTATTATGATGTTCCAACTTACTTTAGCCGTGATCACCAAACATAGTTTCGAGCACCACGAAAGCACCGAAACCGGATGGCTTTCGCGTGCGCTGGGCCCTGGGAGGCGATATGTTCGTTCGACACTGTCTCGATACTCTTTTGGGCGCTGGAAATTATTTCTGGGATGTGGCCCTCAAGCACGATGGGAACACCGTAATCCTACATCATGACCTTCTCAGAGCGCGGACTGGACCCCTTCCCATGGGGCCGGCCGCTCGTTCCGAGGCCCTCTTGTTGACGGCCTCGGCGCCCAGCGACGGCCTCCCCCACGCGGGAGGGCCGAGAGATGCCGAAAGCCCTCCGCCGGGATTCTGGTCAAGACGCGAGGAGGAGGAAGGGGAGGAGGAGGAAGAGGAGGAGGAGGAGGAGGAGAGGAGGAGGAGGGGGAGGAGGAGGGGGAGGAGGAGGAGGAGGAGGAGAGAAGGGGGAGGGGAGGGGGGGGGGGGTGAGGAGGAGGAGGATGAGGAGAGGAGGAGGGAGGAGGAGGAGTGGAGGAGTAGGAGGGAGGAGGAGGAGGGGAGTAGGAGCAGGAGGAGCAGGAGCAGGAGGAGGAGACGCGAGGGGGGCCTCCGTTGAGAGGACCTCCCCGCGAGGCGTTTTTTTAGGGCGAGGAGTGCGCGGGGTCAGCCGGAGCGCCGGATCCCTGCAGGATCCCTGCAGGGCCCAGGGGTGCACTGACCCCTCCTCCTCCTCCCTCACTCCTCCTCCTCCTCCTCCTCTCCTCCTCCTCCTCCTCCCTCCTCCTCCTCCTCCTCCTCCTCCTCCTCCGCCTCCTCCTCCTCCTCCTCCTCCTCCTCCTCCTCCTCCTCCTCCATCCTCCTCTCCTCTCCTCCTCCTCCTCCTCCTCCTCCTCCTCTCTCCTCCTCCTCTCCTCCTCCTCCTCCTCCTCCTCCATCTCCTCTCCTCTCCTCCTCCTCCTCCTGCTTGGGCGCAGGATCTCACCACCCACCAAACCACCCCAACCCAACCGGAAGGCTCAGATTTACCCTCGATTTCTAGTGGGGGGGGGGACGGGGAACATCGAAAGAGCACATGTGGAACCCTTGCCCCCCCCCAACCCGAAATCCGGGTCTTCGGGTTGGGTTGGGGTGGTCTGGTAGGTAGTCAACCCAGGCTTGGGCGCAGGATCCCGCAGGATCCCGCAGGATCTTGCAGGGTCTTGCAGGGCCTGACCGACCCGGGTCTGGATTGGCCCGGGCCAGTATAGATCCCCGACGCGAGGGGGGTCTGGGTTTGGGGGACCTCTCCGCGCTGCGTCTGGGCCAGGATTTCGAGGCAGATCCAGCCATGGCGATGAGGAGCCTCTCCCAGGGCGAAGCGGTGCTGAAAATAGGCCAAAATTTCGATCCCCGAATCCAGACACCACGCGCCTGGATTATGTTTCTGCGTGGGCCAAGGGCCTCTCGACGGCTTCCCCAGGGCCAGCTTTTCTTCCCGAGGAGTTCTCCCACGGCCCCGAGTCGCGAAGCCGTCATCCGGAGGCCAAGAAGTCTGACCAACCAGCAGCCTCGATTTTTGCCCGAGGCGCCGGATGCCTGCAGAGAACGATCCTCGAAGTTCGATATTCCTTCTTTTGGGACGTAGAAGAGGGGGGAGAGAACTAGGGGTGTGTGAATATCATTGCCGGAACCACGATTCTCCCAAACATCATCTCCTATCTTCCCAATTGCATCATGCTTGTTATAATGTTATAGTGTTGTTTGCATTATGATTCGTTTTCCTCGTGCTTATGTTTCTGGCGACTCATACTATTTAATATGTTTCGTAGTTGTATCACCACAAGTATTAATAGGAGTATCGTTAGTAGCAGTTTTCGTAGTTATACTCTAATTGCTATTCCGATGCAACCTCTTAGCTCAGCCACGCGCAGAGGGGAGGAGGAGAAGGGGGGAGGGCTTCTTAGAAGCACCCCTGCTTCTTAGAAGGCGCGGGCCTGACCTATGGATGTAGGGCCAGCGCATTCTGAGAAGCAGCCTCTTAAGAAGCCGACCCCACTCCCCAGACCCCCTCTTGAGAAGCCTTCCCCCCTTCCCCCTTGCCCCCATACCCCCTTGGCAAATCAAGGAAACGGGTCCTGAGGGAAACGGGTCCTGAGTTTTTGCTGTGTTCGGGCTTTCGGCGCCCTCCGCGGCCCCCCCCTGGCCGTCAGACAACGACTCGGGAGGAAGCACTGGTCCGGGGGGAGGGCCCCCATGGACCCGCTCTCCCCTCAGGCCGCGTCTGCTTCATGCCACGTCCTGGCGCGGCCGATCCTACGTGGTTGGACGCATCACTTGCACGGCGATTGAGGTAGGAGGTAGCTCACTGGCGTCGCCGAGTGTGTCATCGTGCTGATGTGTCCGCTCCCCCTCCTCCCCTCCAAAATTGCGCTGGAGAAAAAAAAAAACAAAAAAAAAAAAAAAAAAAAAAACGTCCTGGCGCGGCCGATCCGGTTCGACCTCGGTCCGAGTCCTCGGTCTGGTGCCGACCGGCTTGCCCGGCGGCGCGCGCAGGTGCGCGCCCGCGAGGCGAGGTCGGAGGGCACCCTGCAGGAGGCCAAGGACGGGGCGCTCCGCCTCGCTGCTGCGTTGCTGCGGGGGTCAGTCAGAGACAATAGAGGGGGGGGGGGGGGACAAGCTCAGGGGGGGCATGGGCCCAGGGGGGGACGGAGCTTCGAGGTGCTAGGTTTTCGAACGCGTTCGCGGGTTCTCGGCGGCCTTCCAGCCTCGGGGCGCTCTCCAGCAGCTGCGCCTCGCCGAAAGCGTTTCCGGGGGTGCCCGGACAGTACCGACCGGCCGCCCGAGAGCCGACATATGACCCGGAAAGCATCAGGGTACGGGTCGGTGCAGGGGGGGTGCATCGACCTTCAATCGCCCGTGCATCATTGACAGGGGCCCCCTCAGGCCAGCCACCCCCCGATCCGATCGTTGCCCCTCAATCGAGGAGGGAGGGCCCCGGATCGAGGAGGAGAGGTCGAGGATCGAGGAAGGAGGGTCGAGGATTGAGGAGGGAGGAGTCGATGGGCCCCAGCCCCCCCGCCCCTCCGTCGAGGATCGCGGAGGGGGGGTGGAGGATCGAGGAGCCCCGACCTCCTTTCTCTGTCTTCCCTCCTTCATCCCTCCCGTTTAGTTGGGGAGTGGTCAACACAATGAAGGACGCGTGCTAAACCTTGGTGTTTTTCGAGCGACCCAACACGCACACTAGATTACATAGGACTATCTTCGGCGCTGCTCCCATGTATGACGTGGCGCACGGCACTCAAGACAAGTATGAGGAGGTTGCAGCCGCACAGACTGGGAAAAGAGAGGGATCATCTACCGGTAGGAAGTTGTTTCTTGTGGACGAACAGTTTAATGTCATTCCCGTTGGCACCCAAGGCTGACATGATAGAACCGACGGCTGCGAGCGCTATGCGACAATGTGGGAATGAGAGGGTCAAATTCATCAATGTCGTCCGCGACATCCTCCTCGGCAAAGTGGCGTGGCTCAACAGCCCGTTGGAGTGCGCAATGGCCACTGAAGCCAACCAGCTTCTCGTGGACTCATCGACAGCAGGCGCAGTGGCAGCCTGCACGCAGAAGGAGGGCGACACAAATAATCGCAAGGACCCGAAGAGTTTGCTGGCACAGCGAAGAGATTCTCGATAACGCTTATCTTGGGCATACTCGTGCGAGGATGACGACATGCAGCTGCACGACATTGGCAACGAGCGCAGGAGGACAGAGCAGCAGCTTTGGAAAAGGCAAGATCAAGCAGATATCGTCACGAGATACATCGGCTGGCGATGGCGCGGGTGGAAGAGGGAGTCAACATGGGAGATGAGAGTGGGCTTGGTCAACACCGACATCCAGAAGCAGCCCAGTTTCCTCCGTCCGAGGACCAACCGAGTGGAACCAGGCAGCTTTCATTCTCTTCGGCGACGATGCGGCGAACAATTTGGACGTATATAACACGGCCGAGTCTTTGATGTCCACTGGTGTATCAGAACCGGGCACTTTCAAACTGAATCAAGGAAGTTGCGATTGATCCGGGCACTTTCAAATCGAATCAAGGAAGTGGCGTTTGATTGGAACGTCGGGAGGCAGGAGGACTCACGCTGTCTACGCGGGCAGAACTCAGCGCACCTAGAGGAGAAGGTTTCGAGGGAACGGCGCTTGGGAGGAAAAACCGCAATGTGCGCGAGGAATCTTGCACCGAGAATTTACGCCAGGTTCGACCTCGGCGAGACTGGGCATCGGATGGCGGAGGGAGGCGGCCCGGCACAACCCCCCCGGCTTGTGGAACACCAAGGTCTAGTTCAGCTGGAAGGCCAGTTAGGGCTACGCGGCGCACGCCTGCTGCAGCGGCGATGAGGCGCTCCGCGCGATGCCGGGCCTACTGCGCAAGCCCCGGACGGGCAACCAGCGTCCAGTTTCTTCGCAACGCGCGCAAAGATGATCTCGCGAGGCATTACCAGTGAAAATGAGAAGTTCAAGTTCGCGACTTCGTTGGCTTCAGCAGTGTCTGAGACATCTATCACAGCGCACGCAGTTTCTGGCGGCGGCGGCGGGGCGCCCCTGGGACGTGGACCAGACAGAAACGCGAAACGATTGGAGAACCAGCGAGAAACCGAACCCGTGGCGCGAGTCTTACGACGACACTCCAACGACCAAGCTTGTCGATGACGGGGCCAGGCCCGTCGAAATCCACGGGGTGGAGAACATGCTGGTCGAGGGGTCGGGTGAGTTCCTTCAAATGGATGTAGGGGGGTGCCAGGGCGCTCCATTTCCAGAGCATCGCACAGCACGAGAAAAGACAGGAGGGGCCAACGAAGAAGGGCCTATCAAATCCACAGCGCTAAAAGATGATGGAGAGTCACGCATTGAGAGGTTCCAGAGCAAGAGGCAACCAGAAGCACAATCTCTCACGTCCAAGGGAGGCGCGCACGGAGAGCAATTCATCGGTCGAATTCGATGCTTCATTTGCCAACACGCGATACGTGGATCGAATGTCTCGCTCATCGATCACGCCGGGAGGAACGCGCGCAATAGCGTCCGTCGAGGTATCTATCGCTTAGATCGGGGGGGTGCACGGATGGCGCAGCGGCGCAGTTTATGTCGCACGAGTGTACTGGTTGCGATTATCGCGCCGCTGGCAGCGACGACATCCGCGGGCATATGTTGGATGAGCATATACAGCCGCTTCTACACGAGCACTCACTGGAGCTAATGTCCCAGGTCTCTAGGAGGCCATCGACCACCACGGCGGGCAGGCTGACGCCCGGCGTTCTTAAGGGAAGCCCAGATCAGGCGGAGGCGGCGCCCTCGCAGGACGGACGCGGCAAGCTGGCATAGAGCTCGGGCAAGGGCGAGGACGGGCGCGCCAACGGGAAGCTGAGTCGAGGACGCGCACTCTGGATTCTGGGGCGAGCCCCACGATGCACGGGCCGAACGGCGCGGGGCAGGCGACGACCACCGAGGCGACCCGCGCCGAATTCCAGAAGAAGGTGGAGGTCAAAGCAGACGCACACAGACTGGGACATCCCGAGTTTCAGAGCTTCGCCGCGCTTCTGAGCGCATTCAGCGCTTGGCTCGAGAAGCAGCAGGGCGCGGCTGGCCATGGGCTCGGCGCGGCGCCCCCGGGCCCCCCCCAACAGGCTGCTGCTTTCGATGGGGAAGAGCGACGCGCAGATGGCCTGCGCTTGGATGAAGGAGCACGCGACGTCCAACGCTCAGGGCGCCGGGATTTCGAGGATTGCGGCCAAGGCCCCGGGCCCCATCGCGCAGCGCGACCCGCGGGCGCCCCCCCGGGCCGAAGTCGCAGAGCAGGAGGGGCGAACCGCGGGCCACCCTGGCCGGCGCGGCGGTCGAGCAGGAGGACAGGGGCAAGGCCGCCGCCTGTGCGACCCGCTCGCCCTTTGAATTTCCGGTCGAGCCAGGCAGCGCGAAACTAGTTGCAGTTGGGCAGTGCGTTCATCAGCTTTCCGGGGTTTTCGGTTTCAACGATAAGCCAGGGCGGGCGCCGAAGGCCAAGCTTGCGAGGCATGCCATGCTCGACATGTAGATCTGCGCTACGTGGCTGCCGTCCGAGGCGCGCTTCAGGGCAGCGAGGAGGGGGGGCCGTTGTGGCTCCGCTCCTTCGGAGTCACTCGGGCGGGCCCGCCTGCCCCGCGCGGGGCGAGTCAGCGAAGCGCCGACCGCCGTTTCGCCGCCCCTGGGCCCCCCCAGCGTTTCCAGCGCGAGCATTCTGAATTCGAAGAGATCCGGCGACGAGCGCGGAGGCCCAGAGCATATAGCAGCAGCAGCAGTTACGACGCGCGCAGCCCGAATGTGGAAGACAGACCATCCCCCCCCTCCTTCTCATTAGCCCCTTCCTCCTCCATGGCCATTTCCGCTCAGGCCGTCCGCCGGCGGGCGACTTTTCTGTTGCTCGAGCCGGCTCTAGCTAATGCGCGTCTGGGCTGGCGCCAGGGGGATCTGCCGCTGCGAGTCGAATGGCGCGGGCAGGGTCGGGCGACCCCTTGGCGAAAAAGGCGTTGGCATGCCGAGCGCTCGGCTACGAGGCGCCGCGCAGTGGCCGCAGTGGACTTTGGTCTGGCGGCTGCCCTCTCGCACGCGCAGGAGCTGGAGAATGTCGTCGGCGCCCAGGTCGGCGCGGAGGGCGTCGCCGATCGAGTTCGAGCTCTTTTTCGGGCGCTCTCTGCGATGGCACGCGGCAGCGGGCCGGCGTGAGTGGATAGGCCCCGCAGGGGCGCGGCCCTCTGCGCTGCCGCGCAGGGGGCGCAGTCGCGGGCGACGCGCGCCCGGGGCCTGCGGCCTCGGCGGAAGCGACCAGCGGCAGCCTTCGGCAGCGGCGGCGGAGCCCCGCGGGTGGCGAGGCGGCGGCTCCAATCGGCGGGCATGACCCACGCGCGGAGGCCGCTGCCTTTGTTGCCGCAGGGCGCTGGGAGCCGCCGGGTCGGGGAACGCGCTGCAATTGCGGAGTTGTCGTTTTCTCGGACAGCCCCAACCAGCCCGGAGCGTCTCCGCGCGGCATGGGGGCGCCGCGAGTGCCCTGGGAGGCCGCGGAGTTGCGCTCGGTCGACGTGGGAGTCGAGGTGCAGGACGGCAGCAGGCTCGCGCAGCTGGAGAAGCCTGTGGACGGCGCGTTCGCGGAGGAGGATGCTGGTTCACGCCCCTCGTCTTCGAAACCAGATTCGGACGAGGTCGTCAGCGAGGACCGCAGGCTCCGTTGCCAATGGCCTCTTGGGCCACGCAGGTCGCGTGGAGGCCCATTCCTGAGAGTTTGACTTGGAATGCAGCGTTTGCGGCGAGCTCACTTGGAAGGATATCGAGATGTCTTCGTGCATTGATTGCGACCAGGACACTTGCTTCTCGCGCCGTACCAGCGAGCACAACGTAAGTCGATGATAGTATTGTGTGGCGTTGGCATGCTCATCCAAATTATGAGGCGGCTCGGGCGTTGCGCTCTTTTCAGATGATGATACTGCGCGGTTTGTGTCGCACGTGGCCCTCGAGGTGCTTCCTGGCTACCGGCGCGCTGATGTTTGGGATCGTCCGCTGTGAATTTATTGTTGGTACCATGGCGGCGCATCCCGCCACATATGCAACGACTCCGTAGCCTTTGGCCTCCCCCTCGGCCCGTTTGTCTTCGTCGCGGAGCTCCCGAAGGGCATTTCCCCGCTGCGTGCGGAGGTCAGCAGGCATTCTGAAAGTTACGCTGCCGAAGCAATTCTGCTCGCCAGTAGAAGCCTTGTTGAAGTAGCTGTGCGAAGAAATCAGTCATATGCTGTCGTGAATGCCGCAATCTTTTGAGCCCCGTCGGACGTGGAACCCCTCATTTGGCAACGCCCGCACGCGGGCTGCGTCGCTGGCCCTTGGGGGCCACGAAACGCGAGAAGAGCGTGCCGAAACGGGCGCGTCGCCCACGTGCGGGCTGCGCCAAAAGAACCTTCGGCGGAGCTCCCCATGGGGCCGTTACACAATGAAACGAGAGGGGGGAGGGGGGGGGGGAGGGGGCAAACAGGCAGGGGTGGCGCCCACATGCAGGCTGCGGCATTGGGGCCTAGGTGGAGCCCCCTCATGAGCCACGAAACGCGCGAGGGGTGTGCCGAAATTGGGGTGGCGCCCACATGCGGGCTGCGCCAATGTGGCCTTAGGCGGAGCGCCCATGCGGCCACCAAGCGGGCGAGGGGCGTGCCGAGACGGGGGTGGCGCCCACACGCGGGCTGCGCCAATGAGACCTTCGCTGGAGCCCCCCATGGGGCCACGAAGCGCGTGAGGGGTATGCCGAAACGGGGGTGGCGCCCGCATGGCCGCGCCAATGGGGCCTCACGCGGAGCTACATGTGAGGCCACGAAACGTGTGACGGGGTGCATTGAATCGGAGAGGTCGCCCACATTTTGGCTGCGCCAATGTGACCTTAGGCGAAGCCTCTTGTGGGGCCACGAGACGTGTGAGGGGTGAGCTGATACGCGGGTGGCGCCCACATGCGGGTTGCACCAGTAGTATCTTAGGCGGAGTTCCCTATGGGTTCACGAAGCGCGTGGGTGTTGTGTGTGTGGGGGGTTCGCCCACATGCGAGCTGCGCCAATGTGACTTTCGCTGGAGCTCCACATGGGGCCACGAAGCGTGTAAGGGGCGTGCCGAAACGGGAGTGGCACACACACACACACACACACATGCGGGCTGCGCCACTGGGACCTGGGGCAGAGCTCCCCATGGGGCCACACAGCGTGTGAGGGGAGTGCGGAAACGGGGGTGGCGCCCACATGCGAGCTGTTCCTACGGAACTTTTAGGCGGAGCTCCCAATGGGGCCACGAAGCGTGTGAGGGGTATGCCGAAACGGGGGTTGCGCCCGCATTCGAGCTGCGCCGATGGGACTGTAGGCGGAGCTCCCCATGGGGCCGCGAAGCGCGTGAGGGTGTGCCGAAAAGGGGGCGGCGCCAACATGCGGGCTGCGCCAATGGGACCTGAGGCGGAGCTCCCCATGGGGCCACGAAACGTGTGAGGGGTGTGCTGAAACGGAGGTGGCGCCCCCATGCGGGCTGCGCCGATGGGACTTCAGGCGGAGCTCTCCTTGGGGCCACGACGCGCGCGAGGGGTGTGCCGAAATAGGAGTGGCGCCCACATGCGGGCTGCGCCAATGGAACCTTCGCTGGACCTCCCCATGGAGCCACGAAGCGTGTGAGGGGTATGCCGAAACGGGGGTTGCGCCCACACGCGGGCTGCGCCAATGGGACCTTAGGCGGAGCTCCTTGTGGGGCCACAGGACGCGTGAGGGGTGTGCCGAAACGGGGGTGGCGCCCACTTGCGCGCTGCGCCAAGGGGACAGGAGGAACGCGGGGTGCTGTCTTCTCAAAACAAAGATCCAACACCGCACAATGGTTGGGAAAAATCCTCCTTTTCCTCTTCCTCCTCCTCCTCCTCCTCCTCCTCCTCCTCCTCCTCCTCCTCCTCCTCCTCCTCCTCCTCCTCCTCCTCCTCCTCCTCCTCCCTCCTCCTCCCTCCTCCCTCCTCCCTCCGCCCTCCTCCCTCCTCCCTCCGCCTCCTCCTCCTCCTCCTGCTCTTCCTCCTCCTCCTCCTCCTCTGTTTCCCATGTCCCTCCGCGAGCGAACGGAGCAGGGGTGGTGGGGGGCAGGCTCCCGTCTCTGTTTCTCCTTACTCCGAGCCTCTCCGTTTCGGATCGATCTGGGGGCGGGAAGAAAAACGCATGGACCCTTCTCAGAATGGAGATGGCACGCGACTCGCGCACGCCGGACAGCGGCAACAACACAGGCCCTCGTGCTTCAAGAGAGTGTCTTTCGTCGTCGACAGGCCTCGTGGCCGTCGTCCGTCCAGGGCCGCCGTCGTTCTTTGCCGTCGTGCTCGCTGTCGGCCGTCGCCCGCGGCCGCGGTCGTGGTCGCGGCCGTCATCGCCCAGCGCCGTCTGCGGTCGTGGTCTCGGTCCTTGCCGTGGTCACCGTCGGCCCTCGCCCTCTGTCGGCCGCCATCCCGCGAGCGCTGCGCGCGGGGCACGCGCCAGGCAGCGCTCGCAGCAGCGTCCGGCGAGCCCCCTCCTCCTCCTCCTCATCCTCCTCCTCCTCCTCCTCCTCCTCCTCCTCCTCCTCCTCCTCCTCCTCCTCCTCCTCCTCCTCCCCCGGCCTCGCCCGCCGCAGGAGGTCGTGGCCGCCAAGTGCCGCGACAGACACGTCGCTCGCCGTGAGCGGATGCGCCGCGAGGCCGGGGCACGACGGCGGCGAGGGTTCGGTCGGCCAGGCGTAAGAGTGACCTTTCGCCGGAGTGACCTCTGGTGCTGGCCCGATGGGGTCCTCTTCCTCCTCCTCCTCCTCCTCCTCCTCCTCCTCCTCCTCCTCCTCCTCCTCCTCCTCCTCCTCCTCCTCCTCCTCCTCCTCCTCCTCTTGTCCCCCGACCGCCGAATGCGATGCGATGGTGGCGTCTTGCGCGCTTGTGCTCGGCCTTTCCCGCGGTCCCCAAGAAGCTGCGCACCAGAGGTCACTCCTACCCAGGGTCACTCTTGCGTGTAGCCTAGGCCGAGTAGCGGATCGACTACAGAATTGATTCTCCACAGAATTGATTTTCTCGTCGATTCGTGCGCAGAATGCTCGCAGGTCTTAGGACGTTCTGCGGATTTCTTGTGAACTCAACTAGCGAAGGAATTCTGGTGTAAATCAAGTCTGTAGTCGACACCCCCCTGCTCGACAGGTCGGGCGGATGGTAATGGGGGGTGGCCCCAGGGGGGCGCGGTGAAGAGAACGGCCCCCAAGGGGCCCTCTGGGGCCCCTTTGGGATCCAGCAGGGGCCCTGAAGCGGCCTTTCCTTTGGTCGGGGGTGGACAGACCTCCTACCCTGACACGTCTATTAGCGAATTGGCCGTTTTCGGTTCGCGAGAGGGCGTCGCGGCGTCATTTTTGCAGGTCCAGGTCCGTCGTTTTCGGTCCTGGGCCGTTTTCACTGAGGGGAGGTCTACTAAAGGGAGGTTTGTCCACCGCCGATTTGGGGGCACTCTTCTCCACCTCCCCACTCAGGCCAACCCCCATCACCACCCGCCCGAGAAGAAGGACGACGGACGACAGGCTCGGAGCCGGCCGTGGGGCTTTAGGTGGCCCGGCACCGATGCCGGCCAGCTGGGGGGGGGAGGGGAGAGCGAGACCCCTCGGCGCCACGGCCCCAGGCTCTGCTCGAGGAGCTCGTCGGTGTCGACACCAGGAGGGGTCTGGGACCGCTTTGGGGCGAACTTGCGTTCACCCCTCGGCGCCACGGCCAGGCTCTGCTCGAGGAGCTCGCCGGTTTCGACACCAGGAGGGGTCTGGGACCGCTTTGGGGCGAACTTTGCGTTCACCCCACCCCCTCTTGGCCGATTTTCTTTGTAGGCTCAGCTGGCTCAGGTCCCCTGGTCGTTTCCAACGGCAGACAAGACCACGGCACCGACCACGGCCGACGCTGGAAGATAACGACCGCGGCCGCGGGCGACAGCCGACGGCAAGCACGACCTCGACGATGACAGACGACGGCGTTCATCGATGGAGGGCGCCGACGACGGCGGCGACGACGACGACCGCCACTCCGTCAATCATGTTTTTGGCATGGTTGTTGGCCTTCTCGGGGTCCCTCGGAGCCCCTCCGTGCCTCGTCTGGATCCGCCCCGAAATCCAGAGTTTTCCGGGGGCCGATCTTGAGCGAGGTGGCGGATGACCACCGCCGCCACCACGGCGACGGGCCACGACGGCGACGGGCCACGACGACGAGTCGAGCAGCAGCTCCGAGTGTGCCCCGGGACGCGCCCGCGTGATGGACCGTCCCGCGGGCGCCACACCCAGAGAGCCCACGGCACTGCGTCGCCGACGCTCCGCCCGCTCTCCTGCGGGGCCCGCCGGCCTGGCTCCCCGGCGGGAAGCACGCTGCGAGGGGGCGCGGCGGCGGCGGCCACGGGCCAGGTCGGACATCAAGGGGGCGGCGGGTGCGAGGCGAGGCGAGCGCGCGATGTCGGTCTGGCGGGGCGGGCCCTACGAAGGCGGCGCGGGGGGGGGGCTGGCGCCCGCAGGGGGCGCGCTCGTGCGCAGGAGTCGCAGTCTGCTTGGTGTGGCTCGAGGTTGGAGGCGATGAGGTCAGCTTGCTTGCCGTTGTCGTCGTCCGCGTAAGCTTGCAGGGGGGAGGGGGGCGGCAGAATCTGCGTTGTGCGGCAGGGTTCGGCCCCGCCGCGTGGAGCTGCCCTCGAGCCGTTGCGCGAACGCCTGTTCCGAACCCCCCTCTCCGTCCGACCCGAACGGCGCCGAGGGGGGTTTGGGGGAGGGGGGCTGGCTCCTCAGAAGCGCCCTGCTTCGCAGCAGGCGCGGTCCTCGTGCACAGCCGCGCCTTTTAAGGAGCAGCCTCCTCCTCAGAAGCCTCCCCCCCCCTCCCCCTGCCCCCCTCTGGTGCGCCGCCAGGAGGCCCTGGGAGGCAACGCCTGGCGACGAAGGCGAGGCAGCGACGCAACGTTCCGGCGGGCGGCCGCAGCTGCGGCCGCACGGGCCGAACGCGCCAGCGGCGGCGGGAAGCCCGGGAGCGTCCCGCGAAGGCGGGTCCCCCGTGTGCGCGCCGCCAGACCTCGGCCAGCGCGTGGCTCCGGCCGCCCTGCGCAGAGGAGGGTGGCGCACGGCACCCGCGCGCCCTCCTCTCCAGCCATCGGCCCGTCCCTTCCGGGAGGCTCCCGCGCACTCCTCTGGGGCCTCGCCGATGGAGGGAGGTCGCCGATGGAGAGAGGGAGGGAGGGAGAGCGGGGAGGGAGGGAGAGCGGGGAGGGAGGGAGATGGAGGGAGGGAGATGGAGGGAGGGAGATGGAGGGAGGGAGATGGAGGGAGGGAGATGGAGGGAGGGAGATGGAGGGAGGGGGGAGGGAGGGAGGAGGGAGGAGGAGGAGGAGGAGTTGGAGGAGGAGTTGGAGGAGGAGGAGGAGGAGGAGGTGGAGGAGGAGGAGGAGGTGAGGAGCACCAGTGTAAACCCAAGATTAATCAACGATGTTGGATTACACTCTCCCTTCACGCTCCCTCTTCACAGGCCCCTGCAAGGGTTCATTTTCACTTAGAGAAGTGCCACGTTGGCGGGCAACCGTGTGAAAATCCTGAAGTGTGCCAAGACACCATTCCCAGTAATGCAACGCCACGGGTCAAATTGGCTGTTGCGTCTTGGCGATCCTGAATCGTGTCAGAACACCATTCCTGGGATGCCAACACCGCGAATCCACGCTAGTGTTGCGCCTTGACAACCATGAATCACTCCAACGCACTGTTCCTGATACGTTAACCATGAGAGTCCGTGATAAAACGAATGCGCGCGGCGCTAAGGCGAGAGCCACATTTTGAAAACGAACCGCCCTCAATCCATAAAGCGCTTGCAAATGTTTAAACCGAATCTGCGCGGCGCTGAAGCGAGAGTCCATTTTGAAGACCACCCGCCCTCAACGCGTGAAAACTTAGCAAATGTTTAAGACGAATGTGCGCGGCGACAAAGCGAGAGCTACATTTTGAAAACCACCCGCCCTCAATGCGTGAAACATTCTTGCTTTTGTTTAAAACGAACATGCGCGGCGCGAGAGCTCCATTTCGGAAGCGATCCGCCCTCCATCTGTGAAACTGCTGCCAGTTTTGAAGCTTCAGGCTCACAAGTGGTAAGGAAGTCTCGACAAAACGCCCAGGCCGCCTTTCCGACTGGCCTCGGGGTGCGACAGGGAGGAGTTATTCATAGGGTAAAGGAATGGAGGCGGCTCCCGCCGCCCTTGAGGTCAACCGCTGCGCCGCGTTGGAGCAGCAGCTGACGGTGACGAGCCAGCACCACCCGCGGGAGGAGGAGAAGGGGGTGAGGGAGGGGGCGGGGGAGGAGGAGAAGGAGGAGGGAAAGAAGGAGGAGGAGGAGGAGGGGAGGAGGCGGAAAGAGAGGGGAGGGAGGGGGACAGGAGGGGGAGAGGAGGAGGAGGAGGAGGAGGAGGAGGAGGCAGGAGGAGGAGGCAGGAGGCAGGAGGAGGAGGCAGGAGGCAGGCGGGCGGAAGCACCCCTCATCCATGGCGCCAGTGGGCGCACACGCACCCGGGCCAGGCTCACTAGGGCACGCGTCTCGCGTTCGGCGTGCTCCATGTCCGCCCCCAGCGTGTTGCAGCAACGTCGTTCAGGAGATCCAGTGGTGCACGCAGTTGCTCCCATCGGCGTTGCTTCGCGTATCATTGGAAGATCGGTCTGAATTCAGTGTCTGACAAGATAGTTGCATACACAGCTCAGCACAGGCGGGAGAGAAGGGTTTGCAGCAGCGCTTCTCCACCTCCGCAGCCATTTGCCCCAGAGACCCCGCAGAGTGCCGTGCTAACAGCGCGCATGTTGCACTGTACACGCGTTGAGTCCAGGACTACAGATTCTGGCGCACCCCTCACGCATCTCGCGCCCCACAGGGAACCCGAGTTGCGCCGCCAGTGGGCCCCGGCAGGCCACCCTGCACTGTGGCACGCACTTCACCCGTTCCGTGATGCATAGGGAGCCCCAACGACGGGTTGTCACACGCGTCACACGTGCCATTGTGCTCCAGAGAGAAGACCAGCACCGACGGGCACCTGTGAGCGCCCTCCATGGACTCACCCCTCGCAGGCCCTGCGCCCCGACCACGACGCGGATGAGGCACGTGTGGGCATTTCTTGAATGATGAGCAGCAACCTCCCCTAGCAGGAGCACTGCGGACACGCCCTCGCCAGGCAGTCTTTGGCCGTTCGGCATGCCTTTGCGGCCCAGGGGTTCAATTTGTGCAGTTTGTTTCTTTGGTGGGGCCGCCAGGAAGGCACACAGGGAGACGGGGACGGCCAGCGGTTCGCCGAGAGTCGCTGGATTTCGCAAAGGCCCAGTTTGCCTTCCACTCTCCACCGCCTTTGATATTCAGCCGTTTTGGCGCAGGACGTGGACCTCGCAGGCATGGACGAATCAGCGACCAAGCGTCCCCGTAAGAATCCCGATGGCTCTAGTCGTGCGCGAATTGCAGTCGTCGGCGCAGGCTCTTGGTCACAGGGCTGGCACTTACCACAGCTTCACCGCAATCCAGAAGCAGAGATTACGGCGATCGTAGATCCATCTGTCCTCACGTGGAGCAAATACAACAAGAACATGAAGCCCACAAAGGAGTTGGCCGAGTATTACGGCGTCCCCAAGTTTGATGACATCGATTCTTTTTTGAGTTCCGATGTTGCTACGTCTACACATGGAGTTATCCAGCTGCCTGCGACAAGGCCCGCCACCGTGCCAGCCCAGCCATCGGAGTGGCAACTCTTCGAGGAGTGCATAGGGAGCCGTAGCGTGAGACACCTCGTGCCCCGACCCTCACGATAGCCCTAACATATGGCACGCCCCCCCGCGTCGCGTCGGGATGTCTCTCCTCGTGTTCGTCGTCATCTGCCCTCTTCCTCTTCTTCCAAACTCCAGTGGGATGGGGGCCTCTTGGAGACTGTTTGAATGGCCTCTTGGAGGCCTCCTGGGGGCCGCTATGGGGCCCCTTGGGGGCTCCTTGGGCCGTCTCAAGGCGCTCTGGGGCAGACTGGCACCTTCGGAATCCGTTGTCGGGGCCTCGTTTGACCGCCTTGGGGCTCTGAACGGTCTTCATGGGGTCTTGGGAGTACAGTATACTGGCCATCGTGGGGTTTCCTTGGGACATCTTGGGAACGTCTTCAAGGCCCCTTGGGCCATCTTGACAGCCTGTTTGGTCGTACAGTCAACCCGCATAGTAAGGATGGGCAACCTTCCCAAGGGTACCCTTGCATCCTTGCCTCCTCGGTCCATCCTTCGCCGCTTTCGCTGGCCGCGCCCCGCTCGAAAAGCTTCGAAATGGGCGTCCAAGGCCCTTGCATCCTTATCGCGCATCCTTGCTATACTGGTTGACTGTACTGGGTTCCTCTCGGGTCGGGGGGCTCTTGGGCAGCATTGGGGTCATGCTGGAGGCTTCGGGGGCCGTCCTGGTTGTCATGGAAGCCCGGAGAGGCGAGAGTGCGAGTCTCGTTCCAGAGCCGGCGTGGCAAATCTGTGATCTTACGTATCTAGCCGGTTCGGAACATGCCGGGGGGGCCTGCTGGGGCCGAGCTGGGGGCCGCCGTGGAGCTTCCCTGGGCAGTCGCGGGGCCAGCGTGGGCCGCCCCTTGGAGGCACCTCACTGAGCCACCGGGGCGGCCTCGCTGACCTGCCCCGTCTGTCTCGGAGGCCCTCGTCGGGCATCCCGGGGAGCCCCGGAGCGCCAGCGCAGCTCGGCCACGCGCCGAGGGGGGGTGGGGGGAGGGGGGGGGGGCTTCTTAGAAGCGCCCCCTGCTTCTTAGAAGGCGCGGGCCTGATCTATAGATGTAAGGCCGGCGCCTTCTAAGAAGCAGCTGCTTCTAAGAAGCCCCCCCCCTCCCCCCACCCCCTTTGTGCGCGCCGCCAAGCAGCGTCGTGGCGCCTGGGGAGCCTCGGAAGGGGGGGGGGCGGTGCATGCGCGTGAGTATGGGGAGAGAGGGGGGTCCTTGGAGGATTCGCAGAACTCCAGAAGACAGCACCTGGCAGTCTACCAAGCTTCGACGTGCCAGGGGGCGTAGTGGCGGATCATCGCTTCGTCTCACAGTAGCCACCATGATGTTGGTATGAAGGCCGTACGGGCCGGCTTGCACATATTGATGGAGAAACCTATGACAACTGACACGAGGGAAGCAATGGAGTTGGTTGACGCGGTTGCCTCCTCTGACAAGGTTTTTATTGTCAACAATTCTGCAAATTTTCGACCGAGCGCGATACGAGCGCACAGGCTCGTCACGGCGGGGGAAGTTGGCAAGATAGAGTATCCATTCGCGCTGACGCGTATGCCCCCAACCGCGCGTTGGGGAAGCCGCGCAGCAGCACTGCAGCCCTGCACCGCCGTGGAAGTGCATGATTGTCGCGATGCCATCTGACAAGCCTTGCCACAGCGTTCTGGGAGCGCTTGGGGACCGTCTCGGGTCTCTTGGGCTTCTTGGGGCCGTCAGGGGGCCGTTGGGAGGTCCCCGCTGGTTTGGGGCTGTCTCGGGACCGTGTTGGGCCAGTCTCGGGCGATTGGGGGGCTCGGGAGTATTGATGCCAGCCGGAGGCCATGCTGAGCCCCCACTGTTGGGCGTTGCATAATGGAGGGGTCATAAATGGGGGGGTGGCGAGGGTGGTCCGAAAAGGTACCCAAACGGTACCTAAACGAGCCCCCTGGGGGTCCGGAGGGGCCCGAAAGGGGCACGAAAGGGGACCGTTTCTGACCCCCCCATTTATGACCCCCCATGAAGCCACGCCCAACACTGGCAGCATGGCCAAGTCAGTTGTACGTTGCAGTGCTATCAAGACCCCAAACTCAAGGGCCCCAAAAACGCCCCTACCCTGCCTCGCGAGGCGCTTTGCGCTGAACCTCGTGTGGGCTGACAGGACAAACCCCGCGTGCCGCGCGGCTCACTGTCGGCTCTCTGGCTTCTGGGAGCTCGCAGGAGTTTTACAGACCACCGACATGTAATCCAGGGTAGGGGCGTTTTTCGCTTCATTCCTCCATGCAGCCAAGACGCTGAAATGAGGAACAGGTTGGATTCGGAAGGGGCTCGATGTTCCTTGCGTCCTTCCGTGGTTGTTCCTCTGGCCCTTTCTCGTGCACCCAGGCTCTCGTGAAGCCACAGAGGGGCTTCGTTCTTCATGTGGCGTCCCTTATGTCAGCAGCCCGACCGTACGCAGCCCCGCGGCACGAGAAGGCACGCGGTGCTGGACAAAAGCCGGGCACGCGCACGCGCAGGGCGCAGGGCGCGCGGGGGGCACACCGCGCGTGCACGGCGCGGCGTCTTCGCGATGCACTCGAGAGCGCAGGCACGCGCACGGCACGACGCGCGGGCACGGCACGGTCGGGGCGTGTCTGTTTCGGGCTTCGGGTTTGGGATCTCGCTCTGTGTGTTTCAAGTCGCCGCCCTCGAACAGTACAGTGGGGACGCATGACAAGAAACACCCTGCTCGCCTCCAGGGTGCCCTGGGCTTCTTGGTTTTCGATTATGATGCGATGGAAAGCGTGACGTTCCCACGTCAAAAATTGGCGGACTTCCTGGGGTCTCAGGGCTGGGTTTCTTGTGGAAGGTTTCTTGTGGTCGAGCTCCTACTGTAGCGCGCCGGTGTGAGCACCAAACACTCGCGCGTCCACGAAGGGCGGGGGGGGGGACCCGGTGCTCACTTCACAAGGTTGAAGCAGGCCGATTTTGATCGCAGGGCTGCAGCGCCTCCTATGCGGTTCGCGTCTTCGGTGCACGCTCTTGTTGTGCAGGTGGAGCCCTCGACCGCATGTGCTGCTCAGGGAAAAGCGCGCGTGTTCAACATGTTGAGCTCTCTGGGGCCTGGAGGGTGCGTCGGAGGGGCCTCTTGCTGGGGCTTCTTGGGGCAGTCGTGGGCGGTACGTCGGGCGCTCGGGGGGGAGAGATCCTCGGGACGTCTCAGACTCTGAGCGTCTGTGAGGCTGTCTCAGGCTAAGGCCGGTCGCTTGGTGTGTTCGGAATGGCTTGGGGCGGCTTTCGGGGTGCTAAAAGTCACCAGACACGTTCTTCCATTCACGTTTAAGATCCCATTTCTTTTGATGACAAGATTCGTTCTCATGGGGGTCCTTGCGACGTTGGGGGGCCAATAGCACTTGCTTCGCAAGGAGTTGCCCACGATGTGAAGCTGCAAGAAGGTTGACACAAGGCTCCCCCTTAGAACGGGGTAGCGGATGTAAATTGCTACATGATGAGAGAGCGCGAGTTCTTTGAGGACCCGAAGAATACGGCATGGGTCAAGCCCAGCGGCACGATGCTCGGCAATGGCTTTGCTTGGGGCCAACTGTCGCACACATTGGCATGGGTGTTCATGGTCACGGGCCTTGCTCCCGAGAGCGTGTTCTGCAACATGGTGTTTTCAAAACTGACTGGTGCCGACTTGTTCTCGTCGGCATCGATCCGATGTGCGTGCGGCGCTTGCATTTCCATGCAGGGCGCAGCTGGCTTGCCTGGATCCAATGCGGTGGGCACCTCGGCAAACAAGGGTAAGTTGATTGAGAACAAGATTTTTGGAACAGAAGGGTGTCTTTTCTACAGTGGGGATGATGCCGACCCGGGTTCGGGCGGGTTGGTTTTATCAAGGCACGACGGCACGACACAAATTCATCGTGGCTTCCATTTCGAAAACACATCGCAAGAAGGTGTTGGACCCGAGTCGTTGCAAGCGTTCATCGACGCGTGCTTGGGGAAGACCTTCTTCAATGCGGCAGATGCGCAAGTCGGATTGAAAGTCGTGCAGACATTAGACTCCATGTATAGAAGCGCCCTGTCCGGCCAAGTTGAGAAGGTTACCGCCAAATGAGCAAAATTGGCATGACACACCGCGGATTTGCAGAAAGTGTCAACGATGAACGCTCGCTGGAAGAACCTCCTCCTCCTCCTCCTCCTCCTCCTCCTCCTCCTCGACATGCAGGGGCCCCGGAGCGCTGCTGCGGCGGGAGCCCGTGGCAGCACTCGCCCGGAGGCGCTGTCCGTGGAAGCTGCTCGGCGGCTCCTCCTCCTCGGCATCCTCCCCTGGCCCGTGCTTTCTCGTGACTGCCTGTCCTTGTTATTCAGGAGGGGAACAAACACACAGACACAATTAATAGGCGATTCCCAGGAAAATATGGGAACATATGGGAAGTGGGGGGGCAGACAAAAACCCAGAAAATATGAGAAAATATGGGGGAATCATTTTATTTGTGTGTATTTGTGTATTTGTGTGTGTGTGTGTGTGCGTGTGTGTGCGTGTGTGTGTGTGTGTGTGTGCGTGTGTGCGTGTGTGTGCGTGTGTGCGTGTGTGCGTGTGTGCGTGTGTGCGTGTGTGCGTGTGTGCGTGTGTGCGTGTGTGCGTGTGTGCGTGTGTGCGTGTGTGCGTGTGTGCGTGTGGGCGTGTGGGCGTGTGTGCGTGTGTGCGTGTGTGCGTGTGTGCGTGTGTGCGTGTGTGCGTGTGTGCGTGTGTGCGCGTGTGGCGTGTGTGTGTGTGTGTGCGTGTGTGCGTGTGTGCGTGTGTGCGTGTGTGCGTGTGTGCGTGTGTGCGTGTGTGCGTGTGTGCGTGTTCTGCGTGTTCTGCGTGTTCTGCGTGGTGTGCATGTTGTGCGTGTTGTGCATGTGGTGCGTGTGGTGCGTCTGGTGCGGGTGGTTCGTGTGGTGCGTGTGGTGCGTGTGTTGCGTGTGGTGCGCGTGGTGCGTGTAGTGCGTGTGGTGCGTGTGTGCGTGTGCCTGTGCGTTTGCGTGTGCGCGTGCGTGTGCGTGGGCGTGTGCGGGTGCGTGATCGTGTGCGTGTGCGCGTGTGTGTGTGCGCGTATGCGTGTGCGCGTGGGCGCGTGTGCGCGTTTGCGCGTGTGCGCGTGTGCGCGTGTGCTGTGCGCGTGTGTGCGGCGTGTGTGCGCGTTTGTGGCGCGTGTGTGGCGCGTGTGTGCGCGCGTGTGCGCGTGTGCGCGTGTGCGCGTGTGCGCGTGTGCGCGGGTGCGCGGGTGCGCGCGTGCGCGTGTGCGCGTGTGCGCGTGTGCGCGTGTGCGCGTGTGCGCGTGCGCGCGTGCGCGCGTGTGCGCGTGTGCGCGTGTGCGCGTGTGCGCGTGTTGCGCGTGTGCGCGTGTGCGCGCGTGCGCGTGTGTCGTGGTGTGTGGGTGTGTGGTGTGTGTGGGTGTGTGGGTGTGTTTTGGTGTGTGTGGGTGTGTGTGGGTGTGTGTGGGTGTGTGGTGGGTGTGTGTGGGTGTGTGGTGGGTGTGTGTGGGTGTGTGTGGGTTGTGTGTGGGTGTGTGTGGGTGTGTGTGGGTGTGTGTTGGTGTTTGGTGGTGTGTGTGGGTGTGTGTGGGTGTGTGTGGGTGTGTGTGGTGTGTGTGGGTGTTGTGGGTGTGTGTGGGTGTGTTTTGGGTGTGTGTGGGTGTGTTGTGGGTGGTGTGTGGGTGGTGGTGGGTGTGTGGGGTGTGTGTGGGGTGTGTGGGTGTGTGTGGGTGTGTTGTGGTTGTGTGGGGTGTGTGGTTGTGTGTGGGTGTGTGTGGGTGTGTGTGGGTGTGTGGTGGTGTGTGTGGGTGTGTGTGGGTTGTGTGTGGGTGTGTGTGGTTGTTGGTGTGGGTGGTTGGGGTGTGTGGGTGTGGGTGGGTGGGTGGGTGGGTGCGTGCGTGCGTGCGTGCGTGCGTGCGTGCGTGCGTGCGTGCGTGCGTGGGTGCGTGCGTGCGGCGTGCGTGCGTGCGTGCGTGCGTGCTGCGTGCCGTGCGTGCGTGCGTGCGTGCTGCGTCGCGTGCGTGCGTGCGTGCGAGCGCGTGCGTGCTGCGTGCGCGGGCGGGCGTGTGTGCGGTGTGTGTGTGTGTGTGTGTGTGTGTGTGTGTGTGTGTGTGTGTGTGTGCGTGCGTGCGTGCGTGCGTGCGTGCGTGCGTGCGTGCGTGCGTGCCGTGCGTGCGTGCGTGCGTGCGTGCGTGCGTGCGTGCGTGCGTGCGTGCGTGCGTGCGTGCGTGCGTGCGTGCGTGTGTGTGTGTGTGTGTGTGTTTTTTACCTGGGACCCGGCTTGCGCTGCGCAAGCTGTTGGACTGCGGCGGCAAGAATATTCGAGAATACTCAACCCCGAAGATTATACAAGATAATCACAAGAAAGGCGGTGGCGCAGTCGGCCCCTCGAGCACGCCCAAGGAGCGGCGGCTGGGGCCGCAGTCATTGCGGTAGACGGACACCCTTCTTCGTGGGATGCCAGCCCGCACGAATATTGTTGGCGCGGCGGTTGCGCTCACGGCCGGCGGCCCCACCGACAGGCCCGAGACAATCGTCCCCGAGGCCGCGGACGGCTCCGAAGACCTCGCGAGCGAAGAGACAGCAACGACGGCACACGCGGTAGCCGTTCACGCACTGAATCACATGGCCGCCGTCGGGGCCAGGGGGCGGAGGGGGAGGGGCAGGGGCGGCGGCGGTCCTCGCGTCGCCGACGCTCCCAACCACGGCCCTCGGAGCCATGGCGCCTGGCCCAGGTTCCTCCACAAGGGGCTCGACGCGGCTGGATCCGCCAGCGGAGGAGGGAGCAGGACCTGCAGATGAGGCAGGCGGCAGCGCCTGCGGGACGGGCGCAGCAGGCGGGCTGCGGCTGCGGGCGGCGGCTCGCGGGGTGGCGGGCTCCTTTCGCCCTTCGCCATCACGCCCGTCAGCTATTCCAGAGGAGCCGCTCTCGCTGCTCGATGCGGCCGCGGCGCAGGCAGCGGCGGCTGACAGGGCAAGAGCAGCAGCAGCCGACGATGCTGCGGGTCTTTTAGCCCCTGAGGCGGCGCACCTCGGAACACACTTCGAGTAAAACAAAACCCTTTTTGCCTCGGGAGTGCGGGCAGAGCGGAGGCACACAGGGCAGTGCATCACACCAGAGGCCAACTGTACAAGGCTATGCTGCGTGAGCGTGAGCCCCTGCTTTGGAGTCGCTTTTTTCCGCACTCCGATGGTTATGTCCTCTCTCGCACTGGCCGCGGCGGCGCCAGCTTGGCCAATCCATCGGGCCACTCCGTCGAGCATGGTGCTGGCGTTCAGCAGGCGCTGCCGGTCCGCCGCGGGCAGTCTCCAGGGATGCGTAACCTTCTGTGCCCACCTGTCGGCCTCTATGTTGCCGCGGCGCTGGTAGGCCGCAAGGTGCCCGCGGTGCACGTGCAGCAGGGTCGCGTGCCCTTTGATCTTGAAGATCTGGAGGCCCCGCGAATTGATGCCGCCCACGTCGTCTATTAGTCGCCAAACCTCTCGCCACAGGTGTGCCCACGACGCCGAGGCCGCCGTGGTCGCGGCGCGCCCGCGAACGAGCAGCCCGTCCACGACGTACGACGAATCGCTGTATATGGCCAGAGGCGGGATAGTGTGCCTCAGAGCGAGCGCGATGGCGAAGAGCTCCGCACCGTCGATGGACTGCCAACTCCCGATCAGAGGGGATCCAATGGCCTTGATCGTCGAACGCGGCCCTGGGTCAGCACCGCCACGGCTCTCGGGGAGCCTGATGACCGCGCACCCCGAGACGGTGCCGCCGTTGCCCGAGGCCTCGAAGCAGGTGCCGTCCACGAAGAGGTCGCCGCTGTAGAACGGGTCGCCCGAGGTACCGTAGCACCAGACAACGTGGTCGAACAGGCCCCCTGCAGGGGGGCGCCAGCTGGTGCTGGGGACGCTGAAGGTGAGCCTTTCGACGAGCGCCTGGATCACCTCATTGTTGCTGTGCCTTTTGAGCAAGCGCATCGCCGCTGGCAGCTCCAGGCCGCCCCACTGACCGGCACAACCCGTGTGGCGATGCCACAGGGATCCCTCCTCTGACGGGCACGCCGAGCAGAAGGGCGAATCAGCGTAAGAGGGCACGTTGTGGTACTTGCGGGCATTGGTCCACTGGCCGTTGACGAAGACCGAGCGGATGTAGCCCCGTTGCTGCCAGGATAGCGCGGGCCACCATCTCGCTTTGTCCGAAGAGCCCTTACCAGAGTTGATCCACCTGCGCACCTGGCCTCCAAAGATGGAGCCCGAGACCCAAGGGAAGTGCTTGGAGATCTGCGACACTTGCCAGGCCTCGCAGCTGCGCTCCAGGGCGCGCTTCAGGTACCAAGGGGAGAAAGCGTCGATGTCGTAGGCGGCGCCGTCGTGCTGCATCCAATCGGTCAGCGTGGAGGCCGACCATCCCACGCGCTTCAGCGTCATGTACGCAGCGCCCAAAGGCCCCGTCACCTGCGCCCACGTGGAAACTGAGTCGGCCGCAATGGAGAAGGCCAACTCCAGCACATGCCTGGGCA